GGATACTTCAGTTTCACTGATAATCTGAGAGATTACCTGGTGCAATGGTGCTCTTTGTTGCCGCAGGTGAGGATGTGCAAGCCTCAGGAATTGAAGCTTGAAGGCTTGTATATTAGCAAATACTCACTACCTTCTGGTAACGTGAAGTTTTATCTAATGAATACCCTTTGTACAGATTGGATATCTACTTTTCTTGATTTCTCATTGTTCTTCTGCTGAAATGCAAAACTTTTCATGAAGATTCCACGGTCATTTCTGTCCTACCTGGGAGCAGATTACAAGAAGTTGAAAGAATGCTACCCATATTTTCCAAAGCAATGAAGCTACTCAAAGAGCCATTTCCAAAACTAGCAACGCTCATCCACGTCGCATCCAATAGTCAAGTGGATAATTACATTGGAGGATCCCTCTGTGAGTGGCCAGTTCCAGCAATACTAGTCCCGAGTGGATCCACTCGGCTTAAATATGATGCCTTTGGCGTAAGTCTCCAAAACCTTTCTCTCTGTCTCTTGGTGTCCCTTTCTTTCTCAGCTCCTCTCATCGTGTGGTGTTCCATACTAACAGGCGAGTCAGGTTGCGTTATGCACTTCAGGAACAGTTGCTATTGAGTTGCAGCTTGCTCATCTACCTTCGCTTGTCGCTTACCGAGCACATTTTCTAACAGAGCTATTAATCCGTTACAAAGCCAAGATACCTTACATTTCTCTACCAAACATTCTCTTAGACTCCCCAATCATTCCCGAAGCTTTATTTCAAGCCTGCAACCCTTCAAATCTCGCCTCGATACTAGAGTATATTTATTTCTAATTCTACCTTAACTGTATATTCTGTTATCCGGTTATCCAGAAATAGGCATGATTTGAGGTGTTGTGTGAAATTGTAGGAAGCTTATTTTGGATGAAAAGATGAGAGAAAAACAAGTTGTTGCTGCTGAAAAGTTGACACGGCTCTTGCATCCGTCAGAAAGCGGAATTTGTAACTTTATTCGTTGCAGTGATTTGGGATCTCATCGATATACGCCAAGCGTTTTAGCAGCTTCGACTATTCTTAGTTATGCCAAGCGTTGAAGCCTATCGCGAAGAGTGTTCCGTGAGTTGATGCATTCGCTTAAGGACCTTCCTTGTTTGCAACACTAACTTTTTTTGTCATCGCTGGTTACTTAAGTAGGCCATCCTTCAAACCAAACGACCTCCTTTGTTTTGTGTTGTGTTCCATTTTTAAAAAAAATTGGTTTGTTTGTTGTACTTGGTTTTGAATTTTTGGTTTATTTCGCTCCATTAACGGGTGTGTGAAATTCAGAGGACAACAACACGGAATAATTTGGTTTGTTTGTTGTACATGGTTTTGAATCGGTTATCTAGTTTTGAAATTCTGCGTTGTAGCTCATGCATGTCAAGGAATGAGAGATTTAACTAAGTGTGCGCTGAGCATTTCTAATTCATCTCTTTTTACCTAAACTTTGTTTTAGAATTAAAACTACTCCAAACCACCTAAAATTATAGCATTCCTCTATATAGAAGAAAAAGTAGAAATTTGCTATTTTTCCTCCATTTTAAAGGTAGAAGAAATAGAAAAATGTTATAATCTAATATAATATTTTAAGGTTTTTTCTAAGTGAAACTTTGAGAGGCTGTTACGTGTCACTTTTGGTGTTAATATAATATTTTAAGGTTTTCTCTAAGTGAAGCTTTGAAATACTGCCACGTGTCACTTTTGGTGTTAACAATTTTTRATTTTTAGTACCTTATTTTTACTTAAGTTTGACATTTGTCCCTCTAGATTTTAGAATTTTTGCATTGATTCTTTCAAATAAAAATTTGATATCAATATACTAACTTAAAGTAAACATTTAATTAACATCAAATTATCTTCATAAATTAATTAAAAATATGTAAAACAATATTCTAATAGATAATTGTTTTTTTCAATATCTCTTTTCAAATTCTTTAAATTTTCAAAAAACTATCATATTTAAAAAATATATATTTTAAAATTTTTTTTGTTGTTTTGTCTTTTTTGTGATCAAGTATGTGAAGAGTATATC